CTGCCTCCTGCACGCCCCCTACTGAGGATTGAGCCAGAAACCCGGGCATGTGCCCTAACCAGAGTCAAACCATGATCTCCAGGTTCATGGGTCAACGATCAACCACTGAGCCACACCAGCCAGGCAAGGCAAAAGACTTCAAACCTGAGCCAGTTGCCAAGTGTGTCTTCCATGCACCCACCACATGGGATATGGTCACCTCTCTGCAAAGTTATCTTTAAGCCCACCTAGCATTCTGTGGTGCCCTTTCCCACAGGGGAAGCATTTGTGTAAAGATGAAGCCTCCTTTATGGCAGGGCATGTAGAATTCGGCCCAGCACTTTGAATTGCATTTTAAACACATCCTAATTCATTAGGCAGACTTGTCACTCAGCCCCAACAACAGTATTGCTAGGATTCACAGCCTGAGCCTTTACAGAAAAAAGTTTGCTGACCCTGATCTAGCTTTGCATTTTTTATTTTTTTCAACTGATTCTGGCAACAAAAACCTTTATATATCTTCTGCACCCAATTCCAAGGAAAACATATTTTTGCAATTAATCCAGGTCAGATATTCCCAGACTCCTACAATGCCCAGAGTTCTGAAAAAAAATGTTTTTAAAGTGAATTCCTCAAAATTAATCTGAAATGTTTAAATGAACTTTTCCTAAGAATGGAAACATCTCATTTAACATAGTAATTTACAAGATAAAATTTAGGCACTTAGAGGATATAATAGTAAAATGAGCACAGCAACATATAAAACCTGCTAAATAAGAAGGACTAGAAAATAAAAAGAGATTAGTTAAGGGATTAGTAATGTGAGATGACCAGTAGCTTTTTTTTCTTTTGAATTTTTTTGTGATGCTATTATCTAATTTTTGTTTAAAAAATTATAAATAATTGTGAAAAGAGTACTGGAGGTTCAAAGCATCAAATAAAAGCAAATATATATTTTCTAAACATCTATAAAATAGTAGAGTTCACTTAGAGCATAATTTTGTTTTACTATAGACTTCATTCTTTTAATTTTTTGAATCATGTGAATATATTACCTATTTTTAAATATATATATGTGTGTGTGTGTGTGTGTACATACAAATACATGGATCACATGTTTAATTCACTCCCCCAAATTCCACTCCTACTTTATTCCTTATATTTATAGCCCATTCATCATATATTGTGTGGGTTTGAGGGAGACCAATAAATAGCAATCCTCTTTATCAGCTTCTGATGCATTATAAAGTTAAGACAAAAGAATGCATCAGATAGGAGACCAAAATAAAAGGCTGGGTTGGAGGATGTGACTTTAATCAGCAGAAAAATTTCCTTCCTAATTTAAAAAAAAAATCCTGAAATGAAATCAATTCCTCTACAGTGTCCCATGTAGAACTAAACTGAGGCAGCTATCACCACACACTGGAGTATTATACAAGATATTCAACACCTTATGACCTGCACCTACCAATCTAAAAAGTGCTCAGCTGTAACCAGCACACACAGCATTCCAGGTGTGTGCCTGCCCATGCAGGGCCAGATTCTGTACTTACTGTAGGGAGCAGCAAATGGCTGCGGCCTGAGGGCAGGAAGGCTCTGAAAAAGAAGAGAACCCAAGCCCAATTTCTCCTTGCAGCTCACCAATCAGATCATTCATTTTACCTCTCAAGAGAAAGAATGAGGGATAGAGGAGAGAGAAACCAGGAGTGTTACCTTAATCACAGATAGAGATAGTAGGAAACATCATAACTAGAGAAAATTCCTCTGGATGAATAGATAAAAATGTAAAACTATTAAAAATTGTCCTAAAGCCTTTAAGAAAATAAACAAGGTACTATGATAGATACCAGCAAACCTATACAGATTTATTTTCAAAATGAGTACTATGGATTTATTTGTCCCCCTCCCTCCAAATTCATATTTTGAAGCCCAAACCCCAAATATAACTGTATCCTATATAATAAAGAGGTAATATGCTAATTGACCGTCACACCCTCACAAGATGGCAACGGCCACAGCCACAAGATGGCAGCGCCCAGTCCCCTCAGCCCTGTTAGCAGTGAATTTTCATGCAACCATTGCCTTTTTAAGAAAATCCTTACCTAAGGATATGATTATTTCTTTTAGATCATCTGTTCTCGGGGAGCAGGCCTAAGCCAGCAGGTGGGCATCCCCCAAGGGTCCCAGACTGTGAGAGGGTGCAGGCTGGACTGAGGGACCCACTGTGTGCATGGATTTTCATGCACCAGGCCTCTAGTTTGGAGATAAGGGCCTATAGGAGGTCATTATGGCTAAATTAGGTCATAGGTGGAGCCCTAATAATATAGGATTAGTGTCCTCATAAGAAGAGATACCAGAGAGCTCACTCTTTCCCCTTCCACTTCCCCTTTATTGAAGAGGTCACATGAGCACACAATTAGCTGGGGGCACCTGCAAGCCAAAAGAAGAGCCCTCAGAATGAAATCTACCTTGGCAGCACCTTAAATTTGGACTTTCCAACCTCCAGAACCATGAGGAATAAATTTCTGTTGTTTAAGCCACCCAGTCTGTGGTATTTTGTTACAGGAGCCGAGCTGACTAATACAATGAGAGTCGAGTTCTTATCTATACTATCTATCTATTCATTAGCAAGAGAAATATGTATACAACAGAAATGCAGAACGCTTTTGTAAAAGTTAAACAAAAATGTGGTTCCCTTAAAATGAGATTAATAATGTTTTTTCATAATCAAGTTTTAAATTATTACACTATCTCAAATAATACTGCAAGTTATCAATTAAGATTTTCCACTGTTTACTTACTCTGTTTTTTCTCTGTTGGGAACTTTCCTCATGGAGAAAGCCACCATCGCTTTGAAGAGATATTCTTCATTTGTATCCCAGGCATACTGAAGAGAAGTAAAACAGAAATAAAAAGCAAAGAGGCATGAGGTAAAAATTAGTGCACTGGATTGCCCTGGCCTGTGTTGCTAAGTGGTTAGACTGGATTCAATTCCCAGTCAAGGGCACATGCTGGGTTGGTGATTCGCTCCCCGCCCCCAGTCAGGGCGTGTGTGGGAGACAACCAATCAATGTGTCTCTCTCACATCACATCTACGTTTCTCTCCCTCTCTCCCTCTCTCTCTCCCTTCCACTCTCTCTGAAAAGCAACGGGAAAAATACCCTCAGGTGAGGATTAACAACAAAAATGGTGCACTGGATTCTAATTGTGGTCACAGTATTCTACCCCCTCATCTTTCTTATATACTAAAAACTGGAAACTATGATAGATCATATCACCATAATGTTCAGGATAGAGTTTCTTGTACAGTGGGGCCTTGACTTACGAGTTTAATTCGTTCTGTGACGGAGCTCGTAACTCAAATTACTCGTATGTCAAATCAAAAAGTGAACGAGTGAGACACATGATGCTGGGCTGATGTTGTGGCGTTCACTGTAACGTTCGCTGCGCCAACTAGCGGTGGGGTATCTGAAGCTGGCTCATAACCCGAATTTTAGCTCGCAACTCAAAGCAAAAAATCGGCCGAGAGATGGCTCGTATCTCGAAAAACTCGTTAGTCGGGACACTTGTAAGTCAAGGCCCCACTGTACACTGTACATTCTATCATTCCAAGTGTGGTATGTTTTCCATTGCATTATCTTCTTCAGATCTGCAGTATTAATAGCCAATAAATATGACATTTGGACATCTCATAATGGACAAATACAGTCAGTTCCCTTCCTCCCTTTCTTCTTTCCCACAGAAACTGATTCCCCCTCTCAGCTTCCTTCCTTTATAAACATCAGTACAAATTTTCTTAGCTTGAAACCTGAGTGTATGTACATGTTACGGGCTGAATTGGGCTGCCGCTCCCAAAGAAACATTAATTTTTATGTCCTATCCCAGTACCTCAGAATGTAATCATAGTTAGAGATTGTCTTTCTGAAGGTGATTAGGTTAAAATTAGATCAATAAAGTGGGCCCTAATCCAATATGACTGGTGTACTTACAAGAAGAGGAAATTTGGATCACACACACACTGAAAGAAGACATGTGAAGAAATAGGGAGAAGACAACCACCTACAAGCCAAGAAGAGAGGCCTGGAATGACTCCATCCCTCATGGAACTCAGAAGGAACCAACCCTGATGACACCTTGTCTTGGATTTCTAGCCTCCAGAACTGAAAGAAAATAAACTGCTGTGTTTAAGTGACCCAGTCTTTGTTACAGCAGCACTAGGAAACTAATGTAGCCTACTCATATTATAGTGAGTAATCAAGTATTACTGGAGAAAATCACAAAACAGGGTTTCTTGGTTACTCTAAATTCATGGTGACCTACTCCCAAATTCTTAGGTTTCCCCATCAGTTTTCTTTCTCTCATGGTTCACAATAACTATTCCAAGCCCTCTTCAGTCCCCACAAATCTCAGTGCTATCCCTCACATCTCACTAGATGCTCTTGCTTCATAATTTATAGATACATCTCAAGTCATCAATTTAAACTCCCCCAACCTCCTGTCACCAAATACAAGACTTCCTCCATAGACACACATTCTATTTATATCCTTCCCTGAAGGGACAGATGTGGTTTTTCTCCTCCTGTCCAAGGCTATTCCACCCACTTCTATTAGGAACACTTCCCTTCTGCCCTTCTCAGGCTCTAAACAATATCAGTTTCCCCCCTCCTGTTGTTCAATGCTACTTGAGCCTGTCATTTGACTTTCAACCACACTCAAGTCTTTCCCATAAAACAACAGCAAAACCAAATCACTTTACTCAGTCTTCCTTTTTCCACCTACTTATGTCTCTCTCTAGTCCTTCACAGCCAAAATATTTGAAGGAGTTGTCCATACTTCTCTCATTATATGTTCAATGACCATGACCACTTCTTCTTAAACCCCCTCATTATCTGCCTTCCAATTCTGCAATTCTAAAAGCACAGCTCTCTCTAAAGTTACCAGTTATCTCCACATTGTTTAACACAATGAGCATTCTTCATTCTCATCTTGCTTGGCCTCTCAACAGCATTTGCCGCTCTTGAAAACTCCCTTCGTCTTGAAGTACTCTCTTCCCAATTGTGATACAAGAGTTTATTAGTTTTCCTCTTGCCCCCTTTGCAGATTCACTGTCTTCTACAAGGACTTCAAGTTTTAGAGAAACTCAAAGCTCTCTCTCCTCTTGGACCTCTGTACTTTCCCCCCTGGGCACTGTCATTTACTCCAGCTTTCCATTATCATCTTAGAACAAATGACTCAGGAATATATATCTCAAGCCAGCTCTGTCCTTGCCTATTTATTAATAATAGCTCAAACACAACAAGTTCAAAATTAAAGTCTGTTATTGTCTTTACCTGGTTGCCTAACTCATAAATAGGACATCACCCTTCCAGTTGCATAATTAGAAACAAAAGCTCCATCCTTGACTCATCCTTGTCCCTTCCTTGTCATACCATCCCAGTGGCTCTCGAATCCCTACACTACTCTCTCTACACAAACATACACACACACACACACACACACACACACACACACACACACTGAAAGAAGTGTGTGTGTGTGTGTGTGTCACAAATGAACATCACCTCTCACCTACGCTATGCCAATCACCTCCTAATTGGTGCCACCTTTCTACTCTAGCACCCTCCAATCTGTCTTCCACACTGTTGTTAAACTGTCTTCCAAACACAAATTCTATCATGACATTAAAGGTAATATCAAAACTCCCTAACACAGTCCACATATTCTTTGGCCTGACTCCTCCTTTCTCTCTAAGCTCATCATGTGTCATGCTCCTCCTCACTGCTCCAGTTCCAGAAAAGTCAATCTTCCTTCTACCCCTCACTGTCACCAAGTTCCTTCGTGAAGAATCCTTTGCACATGCTGTTTCCTCTGCCCTTTTTTCTGTTATCCCTTAGTTCACTTCTACTCATGCTTCAGACCTCACAGCAAATGCCAGGTACTGAGGCCAAAACCCACTTGTACTTCTCCTTCCTGTAATATTCGTCCAGAACGCACATTTGCATTTGGTTCACTGACTATTTAATGGCCAACCAATTCTCTGACTACTATAATTCCACAAGGATAGGGACAAGCCTGGTTTTAGCTGCTCTGCATCCCTAGAACTGAGGATCCTGGGATAAACAGTATACAGCACTAGGAGAGAGAGTGAATCCTGCAGCCAGACTTGTCTGGGTTCCATCTTACATTTACCACCTGCTGACTTGAGATCTTGAGCAGGTCACTTACTTTCTTTGCACCGATCATCCATTTGATGAGAATAGGAATATCTGTACTACATTCCTCAAAGGGTTATTGTGACAGCTAAATGAGCTGATGTGAGCAAATTGCTCTAGAAGGGGCCCAGCTAGAAAGTAAACTAGGTTCTCAACAATGATTACTCACTGAGTGAATAAAATAAAACATAGCCTCTAAACAGAATACCTCTAAGTTTCTTTAGTGGTTCTCTACTGTTTATAGTCTAAGCATCTTAATATCACCTTCTATTGGGGGAAATTTTCACATACCATACTGGAAAACTGAAACTAAAGTTACAAAATACCACCTTATTAATTCGATACTCTTTACTGTTCCTATAACTACATGAGCACCATGAGTATTAAATTTCAATTTTATAACTATACATTTCATGTTATTATTTTGATACTTAGGAAGAATTAAGAAACTTCATGTTAGAATGTGAAAATTTTGTGCTATGAAAACTCTTATGTGGATGAAATATGACCTCTTTTCAATGTCTACAAAACTGAGGCTAACAAAATTCAAATGACCACAATAGTGAAGCACAGAACCTAACCAAGACCTAACTGCCAGATTCAGGCCCCTTTGCTGCACTATGCTGGGTTGAAATGTTCAACAGTGCAAAATTGTTTTGTATAATACAAACCTTCACATATTTTCTAGCATAAACTGTAGATAAAGTATTTTAGGCAAAATCATTTTATTAACAATTTCTATTTTACTATAATATTTTCATTTTTAAGAAGATACTGGATTTGAGGTCTTTAGAAGCAATCTACGCAACTTTAAAATAACCAGGTAAAGAGGCTCATTATTAGAGAAAGCACAATGTTATTAGCAAACAAAATTTAAAATGAACATGCAGGTTCTCCACTTACTGCTTTATCTCCCAGAGCTGTTCTGATACTAAGTCTCACTTTAAAAGCATTTTCTGCATCTGCCAGAAAGAAAAAAGAGCAGTGTATGATAAAATCTGCCCAAACTGAGCCTAACAAATCCTAATATCTAATGCAAATGAAATCAACAGAACTGCAAATAAACTGCTCCCCAAATTCCTGAAGTTTAACTGTAATCACCTTAGGTGGTTTAAAATTGTCTTTCAAACTCATAAAACAGCTCAACTTTCAAGCCACAACATGTCTATAGATTTTGAAAAATAAAGAGGTCTTTCAATCAAAGACTTATCAAACATTAAAAACTATTCATCTATTTTTAAGTTTCAGGGCTACATACCTGGTTGACAGAGTTCGGCATGAATAGCAGTTACCAGAAAAAAGAGCAGCCACAACATTCTTTCAGAGAGGAAAACACAAGACAAACCAAGGGAAAAATAATCCACCCTCCACTTAAAGCTGCTTTAGCCATTCTGTGACCTGGATTAGAATAGCAGAGAAACAAGCAAACCACCAGCTAGAAGGTTTAATGATTAATCCCCATCACTTAGGTTAATACTTTGATAAAACAACCCCATCTCCTGTCAGTTATTTACAAAAACCTGTTTGGAAAACAGGTTAGTTGTACTTTGCAAACTCTAGCTTGAAAGAATGTTTCCTCTGCTGACTCAAAGTCAGAATTCCTCCCCACACACACACTCCCTTTGTTGTCTGGTTAAGCACAGGATGGAAAGAATTGAGTCCTCTCTGGAGGTTTTTTCCTGATATGAACTTCCCATCTTTTCAGGCCTAAAGTATCTATCTGGCTGACAGATAAGCTATCTTAATTTGGAAAGCTAATATCACTCCTTTCTATCTCTGGAGACAAAAGCCTTGCAAGAAGGGCCTTACCTGACTCACACTTCTGCAGGCAAACATCCTGGCCCAGCTTCCAAATCAAAGGGAATGATTTTGGTCAGCCCGAAGGTGTGGGAGCTGTGCAAAATCACAGCTGATGACAGAGAGCAGTGCTGTCCAATGGAACACCCTGTGATGATGGAAATGCTCATAGCTGCACCACACAAAGTGGTAGCCAGTAGACATGGGTGACTGTTGAGCACTTGAAATGGGGCTGGTGCTGCTGTGAAAGGAATTCTTGATTAAATTAAGTAGCCACATGTGGCTGGTGAGCACATTGGTCAGTGATGCCATAGAGCAGTTATTAAGAGCTGCCCACCACAAACTAGGTCTGCTGGGTTCTTTCTTTAATCCTCCAAAGAGCACCTCACTGGTGCAGTTGTTCTAATTACCTTACAGTGAGGAAATCAAGGCTCGTGTTCAAGGCATTGGTGGCAATGGGAGGAGTGAATAGGTGTCACTTGAACCCTCTCTCCACCACACTGAACCACACTGCATCTCAGGTCATCATGGTGTAAAAGCTGAAACTGCGGCAAAACCTCAGAGATGCTCTGAGTAAGATAAAGAATGGACAAGACTCCTTCCCTGGGGGGCACTCTGTAGAGGCCAGTAGAAGCCCCACAGAGGGTCCATGTCAGGGCTGTCCTCTCTTCCATGCTGCCTCTTCATGCATTTGCTCCCCAAACTCGACCTTGTGGCTTGAAAACCATGAGTGGGAAAATTAGGTTGGGTGACCCGGATGTTAAATAGAAAGTTTGGATTTTTAAAGCAACAATGAGAAAATGCAAACAATGACACTTCTTCAACACTTTGAGAGTCACACCATTTCCCCCTCCTAATTAGGGTGGTATCTTATCATCTGACCCATTTGTGTTTGCTAACTCCACCTGAGGAAACTTGTTTGCCTTTCCTCCACTTTGGTTGCAAGGGCTCAGAGTCAGGCGAAGTTAGACTAGAGGGAGAGGCAGCCAAAAGTTAGCCCAACCATTCTAGAAGTGTCACTATTTAGTGAATTTTCATTTTACTAAACTGAAAATTTCCTAGAAGGAAAAGCTCACATAACTAACCCTTGCAAACAAGGTCAGACTAGATCAAGTTATCTTGGCAAATGTTAGACAAGATAAAGTCATCATGGGAAGGAAAAGTCAATAGAGATTGTAAGAAAGCTGATAACTGGCATCAAGGAACAAAGCCATGTTAGAGACAGAAATCCAATTCAGCTTTCCTTTAGCCTGAAATGTCATAAAAGTACCAAATACCTCTCTTTTGCTTTTACTTAATCATCTATGTGACTAGAGTTGAAGACAGGAAAATGCTGAATTGTAGTCTAAGCCATTCATTTGAAGAGAGAAAATATTTTCCCTTTTAAGTTATGATTTCTCAATGTTTGTTGTCTCATTTTAAAAACAACAGAAAAAATTTGCAACACAAATTCTGTACAGAAAACATAGAAAAGTACAAAACACCCATGATGAACTAGCACGGATGACCAATATTAATATATTTTAATAGTTGATACATACTTTCCTTAACCTTGGATCTTCTTGCATGATGTTGCTGTCGTTTTGTCTCATTGTAGCAGCACTATCAGAACAGGATGATGTAATGGGAATAACATGAACCTTGTCGTCTTCCTCACTTTAATGGGATTACTGGTCTTCCACAGCATCTGGTGAGTCACATTAAATTTGATGTGTTATAAGATAAAAGTCTCCTTTATTTCCAGTTTACTATTTTCTTTTATCAATAATTAATGTTGAATTTTATCAACTGTCTTTTCAGCATCTCTTAATATGATCCTAGAGTTTTTACCATTTGGTGCATTATATTAATAAATTCCTTACATTGAATACTCATTTTGATGATTTTTAACATGCTTCTAGACTCAATTACTGCTTTTTTCCTGGGTTTTTAAACTTATTTTCATAGAATATCATGTAGCTAATTTATTTTTTATTTATTTTTAATATATATTTTTATTGATTTTTTACAGAGAGGAAGGGAGAGGGGTAGAGAGTTAGAAACATCGATGAGAGAGAAACATCGATCAGCTGCCTCCTGCACGCCCCCGACTGGGGATGTGCCCGCAACCAAGGTACATGCCCTTGACCGGAATCAAACCCAGGGCCCTCCAGTCCGCAGGCCGACACTCTATCCACTGAGCCAAACCCGTTTGGGCATGTAGCTAATTCTTTAAAAAATATATATGTTTTCATTGATTTCAGAGAGGGAGAGAAAGGGAGAGATAAAAACATTAATGATGAGAATCATTGATAGGCTGCATCCTGGATGCCCCCATTAGGGATCAAGCCCACAACTGGCATGTGCCCTGACAGGGAATTGAATGGTGACCTGGTTCATGGGTTGATGCCCAACCACTGTGCCACACCAGCTGGGCTCAAGTGCTGATTCTTAAAGTTTATTTTTTCCTGCTTTTATATTGCCATCTTGAAATGTTATAGAAAGATTTCTAACATTGTCTATGTTTACAAATACTTAAAATGCAGAAAAAATACAAAATTCAGAGTTGAAGAATGTGGACCATATCTATTATGGAGGAAGTGTTATTTCAAAAGTTTCATTTCTTGTATTGCCATTTATTATAGGTTTCATATTTCTTTCTGAGTCCATTTTGGCTATTGACAACTTCCATTCATTTTATTAAGATTTTCCAGTATTCTCATGGACTTTATATATCTTTGCCATAAAAAAATGTACATTCATTGCTTATATTCCCTTTATATTTTCTGGTGTGTATTTTTTTCTCATTTTCCCATTTTCTTGCCAGAGGTTTATCTAGTTTTGTTGTTGTTTAATCAAAGAATAAGATCTTGAATTTAATTTTCAATTCTTTTCTTTCTGCTTTGTGATTCATCAATCTTATTTACATTCATTAAGTCCTTACCCCTGTTGTCATTATACTGGCTTTCTTGTTCTTTTTATAACTCTTGAGCTGGTTAATAGGCTTATTTCTTTTTAATCTTTCTCAGTTAATAATGAAAATATCTGTGGCTATTAATTTTCCTTGGAGTATTCTTCTGGCACATGACATAAGAAGTATAGATGCACAGTGATCTCATCCTTCTTTTCAAAAAAGTCTATAATTACGTTTTAATTTTTCTATATTCCAGTATTTGCTTAGAAAAGTATTTGACAATTGCAAAAGAAACAGCAGCCCAAAATGAAATGATTAAAAATATCAACTTTTGCCCAGCTTGTGTGGTTAAGTGGTTGAACATCGACCCATGAATTAAGAGTTTCATTGGTTCGCCCTAACCGGTTTGGCTCAGTGGATAGAGCGTCAGCCTGCGGACTGAAGGGTCCCAGGTTCAATTCCAGTCAAGGGCATGTACCT